TGAGGTTCAGTGTATAATGTTGAAATCTAAAGTCACTGGTGGCATAGGCGTCGACTCCGTGGGTGATCCGAGGCGCAAGTATCCGTATAAAACTCCTTTCGGCGAGAAAAATAAAACACCTAACAGCTTTAACTGAAACTATAATCAAGATTCTACTGGATTTTTCAGACTTGTAACTGTCCTTAAAGAGGCTAACTCCGTGGGTGAATTTATAGCTTGATCACCCTCGCACCTCAAATTATGTGAAGAAGTCTTGCTCACAAAGTTAAGAAGTTTAAAGAGGCAGAGCCATGTGAAAAAATGGGTGTTAGATTTAAAGGCATAGTGTCTTTAGTAGTCACGTGATGCCTTAACAGGACGATTCAAATTAATAGTCAATTGGTTTAAACGGGGAAAGAAAATCACTGATCCGGGCAAAATGGCTTATTAGGAGAGATGTTACTCGTATATGTAAAATTACCCGGATAGCAAATGTAGTTTATTAGGAGAGGTAAAACTCGAACATACAAAACTAAAGACTGAATTACATATAGTTATCAGGTAAGTAATCTTTATCAAGGATGTCGCTTTGACACCCAGTTGTTTTCACGCACGAGTTTCCACTTGTGATAAAACTCATATGAGTAAAGAAAATGTTGAAACTCCTGGCGGTGGGCGGTGATGACTGGTTGCTTTACCTCTAGTCTTTCACTGTTACATTAGGGACGGCTAGCGCAGATATCCCTCGTGAAATGTAAAAAACAAACAAACTGAAGTAACGTTAGCTTAGTTTTCTTGTAATTTTACAGTGTAATTACTGCTTTCTCCTGGGAATTAGTGTTAGACTATTATTATTATTTAAATATGATTGTCTAGAATTGTTCGTTTTGAGAATTATTTAATTTTTATTCTTTCATTTAGCAACTTTCTCTAACTGCTTTTTTTTTCATTTTATGTATTTACTTTCTTCTGCTTCATGTTATTTATCTACCTATCTTTATCTCCGATCTTTGCTACCTTTAAATTTCCTTTTATGTGCGTCCCTTTTTCAAAATTAGTTTGTAAGTCTGTATTTTTCTTTGGGTAATTTTAAAATATTTTTTTAATGTTTTAATCCCTTTTTTCTCTATTTTCTTATCTGTTTAGTTGTGTTCTTGTTTTTCTAGCTAAAATCGGGTCTAATTTTTAACGCATAAAGTACAAAATAGTTTACATGTGCAGAGAGAGAGAGAGTAAAGAGGTCCTCTGGTGAGACAGCGGTAAGTTTACAGATTTACAACGCTAAAATTGGGGATTCTATTCCCCCTCGGTAAACAAAGCAGATGGCCCGACGTGGCTTTGCTATTAAAAACAAACAAACACAGAATAAACGGGTCAGATGATATATAAAAAAAGGATACCAGTTATATAAAAAGGGGCAAACCAAACCCTGAAAAGAGGTAACGTAAATGGGATAAGTTGAACAAGAAATAGTTTGGCCCCTTTTATCATGTTGCTGCTTCTTCCAGTTGTAATAAAAAGGGGGGTTAAATTTTCCCTACTTTTTCGTGTTTAACTTATCCACTGTTTTTTTAAATATTATATGGTTGACCTCTTTATTGTAACGTGGCTATTTTTGTAATTATAACATATTTCGATCGTATTTAATATTTCAAACAGTTTTTCCGGTTGAATAATTCACAAAAAATAAATCACTAGCATCAGCAGTACATATTTTTGAAATTGTTATATAAATATAAGCTTACTGTGTAAACAAAAGACATTTCAGGACACCATAAATATTTGGATCAGGTATCGCTATTTTTTCTTTTGTATATAATTTTCACAAAACTTGAATTATAATTTCTTTATATTTTACTTTTTATATTAATTTTCTGAGGGGCATGCATCCAGACCCCCTTAGATTGAACTGCCTTTGCCAAAACTTTCAACCTCTTATTGTAAAATCTACATGTCTAGCCAAGCACTCCCACTTTACAGCTCCTTCCAACACCATTTTTGAAGAGTTTTGTCGCATGATACATAATTTGAAAATGTCTATTAAATACAAATCAAAGCAAAAGTAAGATTTAAACCCCTATTTAAGTTGACATTGCAACATGGATAATTAACATTTGCCCATCAGATCACCCTTTGATTTTAGCTTTTCCATCCCCTCCTAAACATTCTCTGTTTTAATTCAAGTCGCGTTTGTTCTCCTAGTGGCTGTGGGATGTATTAACCATTAAAACATATAAAAGATGTTTTTTATATTACACAGGCTACGTATGTCAAACTTTCTAGCTCAAATCAAGTTCTACTTGTGCGAAGAATTAAAACAAGAACCATAATTGTACCATTTGTTGACGATTCATTTCTCTATAATAGATATGAAGTTACTGCTTTTAATGTGACGTAGAAGTGTCTAGGTATGTTCAGAAGCCTAAGAATAGATGCGTAGGAAATGCTGTGACAATACACCAGATTTGTATAAAACTCCTTCTCTCTATAAACAGTATCAATAGTGTTACTACAGCCTTTCTCCTGAACACATTGCGTTAGTACATCATTCTAACTTTGGTACGAGAAGACAAACGATAAAAAAGTACTAGTAGTGTTACTCCGGCCTTTCTTCTATTAGGTCGTCAAGAAATTAATGACGCTTAGATGAAAAAACCCAAACAATTATATATCAAAACAAAACATTTAGTAAAATGAA